CCCCCAAATCCCCCAAAATCCCCAATTTGGGGGTCCCTCCCTGAAGCCCCCTCCCCAATTTAAGGGTGTCCCTATAGCCCCTCCCCAATTGAGCCCCCTCCCCAATATGGGGGTCCCCTCCTCCCCCCCCTCCCCAATATGGGGGTCCCCTGAGCCCCCTCCCCAGTTGGGGTCCCCTCCTGAAGCCCCCTCCCCAGTTGGGGGTCCCCCCTGAAGCCCCTCCCCAATTTGGGGATCTCTGAGCCCCCTCCCCAAATTAAGGGGGTCCCTAAAGCCCCTCCCCAATTATGGATCCCTCCCTGAAGCCCCTCCCCAATTCCAAGGTCTCTGAGCCCCCTCCCCAATTTAAGGGGGTCCCCCTGAAGCCCCCTCCCCATTTGGGGTGCCCTCCTGAAGCCCCCTCCCCAATTGTGGATCCCTGAACCCTCTCCCCAATTTGGGGATCTCTGAGCCCCCTCCCCATTTGGGATTCCCCTCCTGAAGCCCCCTCCCCAATTGGGGGGTCTCTGAGCCCCTGCCCAATTCCAAGGTCCCTGAGCCCCCTCCCCAATTTAGGGGTCTCTGAACCCCTTCCCCAGTGGGATCCCCCCTGAAGCCCCTCCCCAATTTGGGGATCTCTGAGCCCCCTCCCCAATTGTGGATCCCTGAACTCCCTCCCCAATTTAGGGGTCTCTGAGCCCCCTCCCCAATTGGGGGGTCATTGAGCCCCCTCCCCAGTGGGGTCCCCCTGAAGCCCCCTCCCCAATTGGGGTCCCCCTGAAGACCCCTCCCCAATTGGGGGGTCCCTGAGCCCCTCCCCATTTGGGGTCCCCCTGAAGCCCCCTCCCCAATTGGGGGGTCCCTGAGCCCCTCCCCATTTGGGGTCCCCCTGAAGCCCCCTCCCCAATGCAGGGCTGCTGCTGGCCGTGCCCCCCCAGGCGCCGCTGGGCCCCGGCTTCCAGAGGGACCCCGAGGTGCCCAACGTCTTCCACGCCCGCGGATTTGGGTCTGGGGGCTTCCGGCCCGAGCTCGGCCTTCTGCGGCTCTTATTTGAGGAGGGGG